TGGTAAGAATGGTGGGTGTTTTAGGTGAACGGAATAAGGGAGGTACTGTAAAGATGTTCTTCAAAATCACTGATGAAATGTGACATGACTTTACAGTTAATGAGGAATTTACGAGATACTAGCTTAGTTTTGGAGTGTTTTAATTATCTTTTCCACCAAAACTAGTAAATTTTATTTTATTTTTTTGAGATTGAGTCTCACTGTGTCCCCCAGGCTGGAGTGCCGTGGTACACTCATCTCACTGCAACCTCCGCCTCTGGGTTCAAGCGATTCTCCCTGTCACAGCCTCCTACGTAGCTGGGAATTACAGGCACCTGCCACCACACCCAGCTATTTTTTTGTATTTTTGGTAAAGATGTGGTTTCACCATGTTGGCCAGGCTGGTCTTGAACTTCTGACCTCAGGTGATCCACCCACCTCGGCCTCCCAAAGTTCTGGGATTATAGGTGTGAGCCACTGTGCCCGGCCCTAAACTAGTAAATTTTAATATGATGCTTTTCCAAGGTACTGCAGCTGTTCTTTTCATATCCCTTTAAGTCATTTGAGTATCAGTATATTAAAGAAACTTGTCACCACAGAAAAGGAGAAAGCCTGGGTCATCTTTGCTGGTTGTCTCTCTCTCTCTGTGTGTGTGTGTGTGTGTGTGTGTGAACAAATGTGAATACTTTGAGCTCCTACGGTCCAGTAGCATGAGACAGAAAATATTTTATTGGTTTGAGAGGCTGAGGCAGGTGGATCGCTTGAGCTTGGGAGTTGGTGACTAGCCTGGGCAACGTGGTGAGAACTTGTCTCTATTTTAAAAAGAAGAAAAAAAAAGTTTTATGATTAGATAAATGTCCTATTCACTACAAAGTCTATTCCAGCAAAGCATTTTAGGGGAGGTGGGTTGATCCTTTTGTGGGATCCTTTTGTGAAAGTGATTCTCATTTCTTCAGCTTCTCCTTCTATATTTCTTTAGTGATGGAAGCCACGGGCAAGCTTTGAATGAGTCTCCCATCCCATTCACACGCTTAGGCTGGCATGACATTTCGTGTTGTAGAATATAGGGTACAAAACAGAAATGTCCTCATCACTTGTCCGCTGTGATGAGAAAGCTACAAGTTCGTCAAGCCGGCTAAAAGCAAAAACAGTGACTGCCTCAGAGAAACATTAGGGAGAGTGGGGTCCTGGGAGTGACGCTCCAGAAGCAGGATTTTCCTGAGAGCAGCAGTCATGAAAGTAAACCCTGGTGAATGAGCAGGCTGGGAGAAAAGAAGAAAACAGACCAGCCCAGTCCAGCTGTGTGCTTGAGTGCCGTGGCCTCGGCGCCACATGTCCCAATCCTAACAGCGCAGAGACGCTGAGCTGAAACTAGCTTAAGGCTTGCTCTATCTAGGTCAGACTGACTTCCAGGGCATAGTAAAGACCCATGTCCTCTGGTAATCGGGGCCGCAGACATTCCTTGTGACTTGCTTAAAATGTTTCCTCGTACTCCCTCATTGTGGCCATAGTTGCCCGCTACCCCCCACCCACCTTTCAGCATTTGGAGAAACTCCTTTGTCTTCACCTTTCACAGTGTTTGTAGTTGGCGTGCATTTGTTTTACCATTTCTCTCTGCCACTGGCTTTGGCTGGTCCAAGAAGGACAAGTGTTTCAGAACAAATAGGGAGGGAGCAACAGAGAGACAGAGACATGTAGCTGATGCGTCCGAGCCGGGAACAGCTGTTTTGTGACTTGGGAAACACTCGGATGTCCAGAGGCCTGCGCTGCGTGGTCACTGCGGCCTCCTTGCCATGTTTGAGTGATGGCGATTTTGGTTCTGCGCAGCGAGACGAATGAGGAGCCTCCTTCTGTGGAAGCTGTGCAGGGTCCCGGCTGCCTGTGTTTGCTTTGTTAGTAGTGCTGAGGAAGAAAGAAAAACGCCGCAGCTTCTGGAAGCTAAACAAAGTGGACGTCTAGCCTGATGGATGAACAGAATTTCTGTATCTCCCTTCTCTGATAGTCCATTCATCCAAGGCCCTGCTCCTAAATACCTTGGTGTTTAATGCTCTGACTATGGGCTTTGTAAGACCTCCTTTTTAAAAATGTTTTTAATTTTTGATTTAATTAATTTATTTATTGAGACAGAGTCTCGCTCTGTTGCCCAGGATGGAGTGCCGTGCCGTGATCTCGGCTCACTGCAACCTCTGCCTCCCAGGTTCAAGCGATTCTCCTGCCTCAGCCTCCTGGGTAGCTGGGACTACAGGTGCGTGCCACCACACCCGGCTAATTTTTTTATTTTAAAATTATTTTAGTAGAGACGGGGTTTCACCATTTGGCCAGGCTGGCCTCTAACTCCTGATCTCAGGTAATCCCCCGGCCTCGGCATACTAAAGTGCTGGGATTACAGGCATGAGCCACCACACCCAGACTTTTGTTTGTTTGTTTTTTAAAGTTCATTGATGATAATTGACCAATAGCCAAATGCCCAAACCCAGTGGAGGACCTTAGTCCCCTTTATAGCACTGTTTGCATGGAAAAATACTTTAAGAGTTCCAATGTCAACATGCATCTTACTGCTCCATTATTTGAAACTGCTGGCTGAGGGAGGAACCCTTTCCTGGTCCCAGCCCATGAGTCTGCAGAGATGGAGGCCCAAATGACAGGGTGGACACAAGGGCTCTGAGAAGGGTCCTCCAGAGGGTGAAGGTTCAGATGGTTGTTGGATGCTGTAGGCGGATGCAAGATCAGGGTCACTAGGGTTCATGACAGAAAGGCTGGGGATGAGGAAGGGCATCCTTGGAGACGGGTCTTGTGCCTAAGAGATGCTTTGACAATCGAATGCGTCTAAGCAGGGGACTGCCTGAATTTTTCAGTAGTACAGACTGAGAAGAAATTCTGCCTGCATGCCTGTGAGTTCATTGAGGGCACTTGGGGACACAAGAGAAAGGGGAAAAAGGCTACTGTTGGAGCAATAACCACACGTCTGCAGCTCTTGGCACCCTGTCCCAGCACTGCCCAGGCGCGGGATGAAAGGCAACCAGACTGGACTTAGGCAAGCAGTAGTGGGGTAAGATGCATAGCAAAGACCAAGGCTTTTTCTTCTAAGCGTCTTTCTCTGCAATTCCACTTTTCTTTTTGAACAGCCTTTCCCCAAGCACAGACGACTCATTAGTTGAACATAGAGCAAGCAATCCCTAAAGATCACCGTCTCCACCATCTTTCCCCCTCCATTCCACAGATGTGCATTCAGTACCTTCTACATGCAAAGGATAATGCTAGATTTTTTTTTTTTTTTTTTTTTAGACGGAGTTTTGCTCAGGCTAGAGTGCAGTGGCATGATCTTGGCTCACTGCAACCTCTGCCTCCCAGGTTCAAGCGATTCTCCTGCCTCAGCCTCCTGAGTAGCTGGGATTACAGGCGCACGCCACCATGCCCAGCTAATTTTTGTATTTTTAGTAGAGATGGTGTTTCATCATCTTGGTCAGGATGGTCTCGAACTCCTGATCTCAGGTGATCCACCTGCCTAAGCCTCCCAAAGAGCAGGGATTACAGGCATGAGCCACCGCATCCAGCCCTCCCTAGAGTTCTTGATCATGATGTGGCCAGGCTGATGTTCTAAAGTGTCAGTTAGACTCTATTACTCCTGCTAAGAACTCCCAATAGCTTCTCCTTACTGTTGAAAGAAAATGCAAACTCCTACAAGGGCCTTCAACCTCATCACTCTCCTACGGTTCTCCCCGACTCACTCAAGCTCTTCCCTCTGCTTGATTACATAGGCCACACCACAGCTTCAGTTCCTTCTGCCTAGGGCACTCGGCCCCGGAGCTGGCCTAGCTGCCTCCTTCCCACCCACCATTCAGGTTTTAGCTCAGATATCACCCCCTGAAAGAAGCCCTCTCCCGAATACTTAATTTAAGGCCCTGTTCTCTCTTTACTTTGGTGGGGTTTTTCTGTTTTTCATTTCTTAAACAGAGTCTTGCTCTGTCACCCAGGCAGGAGAACAGCGGCATGATCTCAGCTCACTGCAACCTCCACCTCCCAGGTTCAAGTGATTCTCCTGCCTCAGCCTCCCAAGCTGGGATTACAGGCATGAGCCATCATCCCCAACTAAATTGTATCTTTAGTAGAGACAGGGTTTCGCCATGTTGGCCCAGCTGGTCTTGAACTCCTGACCTCAAGTGATCCGCCTGCCTCAGCCTCCCGAAGTGCTGGGATTACAGACATAAGTCACTGCACCTGGCCTTCTCTCTACTTTGTGCCGTTTTCTTCAGATTACCTATTGCCATTAGATTTTATCTTATTATTATTGAGATGAAGTCTCACCCAAGCTGGAGTGCAGTGGTGTAATCTTAGCTCACTGCAAACTTCGCCTCCCGGGCTCAAGCAATTATTGTGCCTCAGCTTCCCAAGTAGCTGGGACTATAGGCACGTGCCACCAACCTGGCTGATTTTTTGTATTTTAGTAGAGAAGGGGTTTCACCATGTTGTCCAGGGTGGTCTGAACTCCTAAGCTCAGACGATCCACCCAACTTGGTCTCCCAAAGTCTGAGGATTATAGGTGTGAGCCATAATACCAGGCCTATCTTATCTATTTGCTTACTGGTTTTTTATCTGCCTCCCCTCGCACCTACTGTTAAACAGGGAATTTGTCTTGTCACCTCTGCAAACCAGAGCCATGGATGGTGTCTGGGATCAAGAGATTTTTAGGAATGCTGGTGAAAACACCAAGAGTACAAAGGGACCAGGCCATGGAGAAGGCTCCAGGGTCTAGTGCTGCTCTTCCCTGTTTTGGTTTCTTTTTGGTGAACATTTACTCTCATTTAAACTTCACAACATATGGATGAAAATTCTATTATTATCATCCCCAATTTGCAGACAAAGGATACTAATGTGTAGGGCCAGGATTCAGACCAGGTCTGTCTGCCTGCAGATCCTGGGCTCCGAAAGGTATAATGCCCTTCCTCAGGAGCAACTATGGGCACAGGCTACCTTCAGCCAAGCCTCTGCAAACACCTCAGCTTTAGGGTGCAGTATGTAGACCCCTGGGACCCAGCTCACCTGTCTCCTGCTGACCTGGAAAGCAGGAGACAGGCTCGGGAGCCACTCACCTTGATCCCATCTGCTGCGTTGTGTACCACAGTGGTTTGTGGCTCCTGTGAGAGAAGATGAAAATTATCCTTCCAACTTGGGGACAGACTATGGCTCTTCCCTGAGGAGCCCCACCTGTACCCCATGACCCCTACAGACCCTATAATGACCACTGAGGCCTGCCCACCAGCCATCTCCAGAAGACAAAATGTCCTGGCTTAGCTGGGGTTCTGGGCAGCTTGGAAAGCCCTGGGTTTTGGCAGCAGCACTGGCTAGTAAGAAAGAGGCCCGGCAGGTGCAGGTGGGTGCCAGGAGAGGACAAGGGCCTCTGTCCCTGATTCCTGTCGGTCCTGAGGGCTCTTTTCACATAGGGATCCCATGGGGCAGGTACACTGGAGGAGCTGTGGGACTGAGGGCACAGCTCAGTGTTCATCATGAGGAGTGTGCAAGGCAGGAACATGGGGAGAAGAATGAGGAGGTCTCCCAGAAAGAGCCAGGACACGAGGCCCCCTCAGCAAGCTGAGCCCAGAGAGCTGTTCACTGTGCCCGCCCTCTGCCTTCCCTAGTTCCTGGCCCCACCACCACATCAGGAGGCACAAGGGTCTGCAGGAAAGAGGGGAGTAGCCGGCACCATCACCCCTCTGTCTTTCCCAGTCACCCCCTGCTGACTCTCTAGTTAGCCACCACTAGCAGAGGGAGCTCCAAGAGCACAAAGAACCCCTGGAGGAGCCCAGAGAGAACTCAGCCAGCACGAGGTGCTCCAGGAGCCCAGGGACCTCAGCAATATCCAGAGGTGGGGACCCCAGCCCTCTTTCCTGTTCCTGGCTTTGCAAAGGAGAGGAGGAGGCAGGTTTTACAATGAGGCCTCCATGAACTGATGTTCAGGTTTCAAGAAAGCTCCTACCCTCTCCTTTCCTAAGCAACTCACCTTCCCAGCCCCCAGAGAAGACCCATTGGGGGTCCCGGCCCAGGCCTGGGAGGTTCAGCAGAGAGCCCTGATCACTCTTCCCCCCACCAGCAAAAGGAGCAGAAGCAGCAGTTCTGCCATGCGGGATGGAGCACGGCCAGGCAGGACAATGAAGGGGAAGGGGCCTGCAGGGCAGCACACAAAGCGGCCTGCTCTACGGGGACCAAGAAAGGAACAGGCCCAGGAGGCCAGGGAGGGGGCACAAGAGGAGAAAGAGGGAAGGGGCAGGAGGCAGCTGGGGGCAGAGGCGGAGAAGCCGTAGACAGGAGGTACCATGGCCGTCTGCAAGGGCGCGGGCTCTTGGGCTGGGCTTACGAGACTGTTTTTGTTGTTGCTCTGTGGCTGAGACAAGAAAACAGATGGTTTAGTTCCTCCAGAGTCCCCAAAGCCACTCACGTTCAACTCCCAGACCTCCCTTGCCCCCTGGCCTGGCCTGGGGGAGCTAGGCCTGAGGCGGCCTCCATAACGCTGTGCAGATGGGAGCGATGGCTAGAGAGATGATCAGAGGAAGGAAGTATTTGTGGGGCCCAGAGACCTGGCTCTGGGGACACCTTCAAGGTGGGACCAGCCCAAAGACTTGTTTTAAAGCATCTCTCCAGAAATCTCTGCTTACACCAGGTGCCATGTCATTGCACAATCAGCATCTGACCCAAAGAAGTTCGAGATCTTCCTCCTACTGTACAGGGGAAAGGTGGGGGGTAGTTTATAAGAAAGAACAAAATTCAGAAACTCTGGTCCCCTATCTGTGGGCAGCCTCCTGCTGCCCTTTCAACTCAGCACCTGTATGTCCTTCTTACAACACCAGCTTGAAGCCTGAAACAAAGATGAAGGAGAAAAGAAAGTACACCTGGCCTAAGAGATGGTGTCCAGGGGATGGGGGTGGAAGTCCATTTCAGACACAAAATGCATTCACTGACCCCAGGGAGCAGATTCAGGGCTGGGCTGTTCACCTTTCTGCCTGACAAATCTTAGAGCTGGTCGGCTAGAAGTAAGGACAGTGTTCCGAGGAGGGGCAGGTGAAACCCAGCAGGGCTGTGGCTGTAGACCCAGAATCCAACACCCAGGACAGAGTAGGCCATGCACAGGCCAACATTCCCAATAACACCATGACCACCAGGGATATATCCTTGCCTTTCAAAACTACATGGTGTTAGCCAGGTGCAGTGGCTCACGCCTGTAATCCCAACACTTTCGCAGGCCAAGGTGGGTGGATCACCTGAGGTGAGGAGTTCAAGATCACCCTGGCCAACATGGTGAAATCCCATCTTTGCTAAAAATACAAAAATTAGCTGGGCATGGTGGCAGGTGCCTGTAATCCCAGCTACTTGGGAGGCTGAGACAGGAGAATTGCTTGAACCCAGGAGGCAGAGGTTGCAGTGAGCCCAGATTGTGCCACTGCACTCCAGTCTGGGTGACAGAGCAAGACTCCATCTCAAAGAAACAAAAACAAACAAACAAAAACATTACACAGAGGGCACAACAAGGGAGGGGCAGAGGGAGGATGGAAGGAAGGAAGGAGGCCGATCTCCAGGGCAGGGAGCCATATCCATGTGATGTTCTCTGCCTCTGATAGTTCCCTAGCCAGCATACTCAATCTCACTGAGGTCCAGTGGGGATGGGGGCCATTGAGGCGCAACCTGATGCCTGCAAGTTCTTCAACAGGCAGTGAGACAAATGCGTGGCTGCTGTCCCTGCACAGGGCACAGCTGATACATCGACAGATAGAATGTGTGTCTTCTCTCCTAAGACATACACAGAAAGCATTCTGACTGTCCTGATTCTTGCCTGGAGGCCTCTTGGACCAGACCTGAAGCCATCCACCGCCAGCTTGCTGTCAATGGCTCAGACATCCCCAAACCCAGTCTTGGAACCTCAAGCCAGGCACCAAGTGACTCCACCGAACAAGACTCCACAGACCGTGGTAGGCTAGAGAAGAGGAGTCCCAGGAGTAGCGAGACGGTGGGTCTAAACTCACAGGAGCTCTGCTGTCTCCCATTCCCAGCAGGAAGAAGGAAAGCCCACCTAGCTCAGTGACTGATGCTGACCTGTTTGGGGCTGGTTAGAGAGACCTGCCCTACCTGTAAATCCCAGCTGAGGCTAAGACCCTCACAGGGAGCAAAGACTCCAGGGTGCCCATAAAACCTGCAGAGAGCTGGGATGTCACCCAAGTGGCCCCACCTCTGGTTTTAATGGATGGTTTCGTAATGACTCAGGCTGCTGTGTTCCCCTTGGTGCCCTGTGTCCCGTGAGAAAGATGAGTTAGCTGTCTCCCTGAGGGCTAGGTGGGCAGGATAAAACACTGGGCACAGCTGGAGAATGGGATTTGCACGGGGGCAGAGCCAGGAGATCGAGACTCACAGGTGGGAGCCTGCAACCAGCCCCTCTGCCCACCACACAGTTGCCCTACAGCTGCCAGTCTGTAAGAAGCAGCTGCTCATGCCTGGGAAGCAGGGCCTCTCCTTCTGAGCAACAGTGAGTGAGGGTCTCTCCCTTACTTGCCACCTGGCCCCAAGTCCCTACCAGATTCATGTCCTACACTGGGCTGCTGGGGGCTGTTGAAGCTCCACAGCAGGGGGTGCCGTACCACCCCTTCCAATACCCACTTTTTAGGCCACTGGGTGACCTTGGGTAATGGCCCCCGCCTGGCAGGACAGGCCACACCTGCCCACACAGCACAGACATGCAGTGAGGATGAGTGAGGCACACGCACATGGCAGAACAGGTTTGCGTGGCTGGCAGGCGGGCGCAGGCAGCATGGAGTGGGCAATGGGTGGGCAGGCAAGGCTCACCATTAGGTGCACGCTGGAACTCGACTTCCTTTTCTGGACACACCACAGCAAAAGGGAAAGAGAAGGGGAAAGAGGAGGTAAGAAGAGAAGCACAGAGACGTTGCAGGTTAGCGCACCAGCGTGGGCTCTGCATCAGGGAGAAAAGAGCGGAGGGAGACCCAGAGACCAGCACCAGAGGGTTAAACAGACGTGGACCAACAGCACTCACACCCTCCAGACCCCAGGAGGGAAGAACTCTTTTGTGGTCAGGTTGGTAGACACAGATTTAGTATCTTCTAGAGATGTCTCAGCCTTGTTCAGAAAAAGCCTCCTAAGGAGATTGTCACAAGTCTGTGAGGGTAAGTAACATTTTGCTACAAATTTACAGATCTGGGTTCATAGGATTAGCTCACCCTGTAATGTTATTTATTTTCTCTCATTACCAGAACTGCCTGAAGTTCAAGGGAGCAGCCACCAGGGAAAAAGCAAAAGCTACCATAGGCTGTCCAGCTTTAATAAAATTTGACTTCTGACTTTGCTGCACCCCTAAACTGCTTTTTAGAACAAGATGCTGAGCTTTTGAAAATCACCTACAGTTAAATGTTGGCCTCCTTTGTCGGTATAGCCACACTTGTTTAAAATATTTGAATTTTTTATTGCATTTTGCAATTCGTGAGAAATGGAAACACAGGAGTGCCAGTGATTACTATAGTGATCATAAAATGGCAGGGATGTAAGCCACAGGGAATGTTGAAAGCAGTGATTCCTCAGCCTCAACTAGATGCTCACAAACTTTACGTTCAGATGTGAAACAGACACATCAGGATGAAGACCACGTGGAACACTAAAGATATATCCCAGAAGACTGCGTCAAAAAGGTGAAGAGTAATTATTAATTTCATAATTAGCTCACTGGGGGTAAGGTCCCCCGGAACATGTCTGTCTGTTGTTCAGCTTTTGCACATTCATTGGACAATGCCCAGCAAACACTGAGGGCTGTTTCAGGCACAGTGGACAGAACTGATAAACTGTTCCTGCCCTCAAGGGCCCAGCATTCTTTAGAAAACATTTTCAGGGATGTATTATAAACAAAAGAAAGAGGCTACAAATATTAAAACTAAAGGAAAAGAAAAATCTAAACATAGGTGTCTTTTACATTGGCCTTTTATGTATGCATGTATGTATGTATGTATGTATTTTTTATTTTTATTTTTGAGATAGAGTCTTGCTGTCACCCAGGCTGGAGTGCAGTGGTGCGATCTCCACTCACTGCAACCTCTGCTTCCCGGGTTCTTGCAATTCTCCTGCCTCAACCTCCCGAGTAGCTGGGACTACAGGCGGATGCTACCATGCCTGGCTAACCTTTTGTATTTTAGTAGAGACGCAGTTTCACTGTGTTGCCCAGGCTGGTCTCAAACTCCTGAGCTCAGGCAATCCACCCACCTCAGCCTCCCAAAGTGCTGGGATTACAGGCATGAGCCACTGTGCCCAGCCTATTTATTTATTTTTGACCAAGTCTTGTTTTGTTGCCCAGGCTGGAGTGCAGCGGCACGATCTCGGCTCACTGCAACCTCTGCCTCCCAGATTCAAGCAATTCTCCTGCCTCAGCCTCCTGAGTAGCTGAGATTACCGGCACCCACCAACCACGCCCAGCTAACTTTTTGTATTTTTAATAGAGCCAGGGTTTCGCCATGTTGGCAAGGCTGGTCTTGAACCCTTGACCTCAGGTGATCCACCCACCTTGGCCTCCCAAAGTGCTAGGATTATAAGCGTGAGGCACTATGCCTGGCCTTAAATTGCCCTTTTAAATATACTCAAATATGATATTTTATTTCTAAAATTATCCCTCAAAAAGAGGGAGTTTCCTTATATTCATATATATATATAATAAAGGTAGGTGTGTGTGTACCTCCTTATCCCGTTACCCAACTAAAGTGTTACCGCTTTCAGGGAAGGTTCCTATCTTATATATCTTTGGAATTTCCACAGTACCTAGCAGCATGCCTTATAGTTAGCATACAGGCAAGGAAAGTTTGCTGAGTTGAGCTGGGTTTTCTGACTTTGGTTTTTCCCCAGGCTACAGAAGAGCACAGGTTTCTAACTTGCACTGAATCATAGCAGCAAGAACTCTGCACAGGCACTCACTCACCAAGCCCAGTCTTGGTTCTAGTGATTTTTCAGGGGCATGTTGTCAAAGGCCATTGCAGGATCTTGACCTGAAGCAGATTTTTGACTAATGGGGAGTTAAGTTCTCAGCTTTCTCCTGGCTCTCTTTTTCCCAAATTGTCTTGCATGAGAACCTGAGATAACGCTTTTCCAAAGACTGTTTCTCAGGTTAGTGAACATTTTTCAATTTCCCTCTCCATTCTCTCAGGGATTTGCCCTTAGCCATGCGTAGCTGGGCTCCCTCCGAACCAGCACACTACCACATTGTCTAAATGTGAGATCTTTTTTTTTTTTTTTTTTTTTAGTCCCAAGAAGAACTTTTTGAAAAATTTTTTTTTATCTCTAGAGATAAGATATTGCTCTATTGCCTAGGTTAAAGTACAGTGGCATGATCACAGCTCACTTCAGCCTCAACTTCCTGGGTTCAAGGGATCTTCCACTGCAGCCTCCTGAGTAGACAGGACTACAGGTGCACACCACCGTGCCTGGCTAAAGGCCAGATGGGTTCTCAAGAATCGTATCTCACTTTTACTTTAAAAACTCTGTGTTTATTTAAAATGCTAAGCTAGGAAAGAGTTCAAACCTCTTTCCCGTAACTAAACAAAATAATTCATATAGTACTTAGGGAAATAACTATAACCTTTCCTTTTTCTTGCTTTTTTTTTTTTCAAAGACAGGATGGCCATTCTGGCCTGGTATTAGCAGAAGGCATGAGTTGTCCTACACTCTCAGGATGTGAGTTTGTGGTCCCTTCGGTCTCATCCTCACAAGTGGCTCTTACTCTTCCACAGACCCTGGGTCACTGGCATCCACTTTCAAAGAAATCGAAATAGAAGTTAAGTCCCCCAAATCAAGAGCACAAGATAGACTAGCTGCTCAAACCAAAGCCAGTATTTTGAACATCTTGCAGAAAGCTTCTGAACAGTGAAAAAGAAATCACCCTGTGGACACTTAAGCCATAGGAATTGAGGAAGGCAGAGCTGGGAAGGGAAGACAGATCAAAAGAATCCATGATGGTGAAAGCTCAAGACCGTATGAGAACTCCACAGGCTTCCCTCCTAACAGTGATCAAAACCTTGACTTTCAGGAGAGCCTGGAAAGGCTGAACTCCAAACATCCTGCTTTGTCCTCTCCTTTTCATTTCTTGCCCCTTTGATGCAGCCACAATATTAATTGTTATTTACCTGTTGCATATTATAAAAGGACTTCAGCTAGTATACAAGCAATATGGAAAACAGAGAAGGGGTATGGGAAAACCACTCGCACTCCTAGCAATCTTCCAGTCTTTTTAAAAAATGCAGTCTTTTAAGATGTCATTATTGCCCAGGTGTGGTGGTTCATGCCTGTAACCCCAGCACTTTGGGACGTCAAGGGAAGCGGATCACCTGAGCGCAGGAGTTCAAGACCAGCCTGGGCAACAGGCAAACCCAACTGGCGAAACCCTGTCTCTACTAAAAATACAAAAATCAGCTGGGCGCAGTGGCACACGCCCACAGTCCCAGCTACTCGGGTGGCTGAGGTGGAACAATCCCTTGAGCCCAGGAGGCAGAGGTTGGAGTGAGCCTAGATTGCACCACTGCACTCCAGCCTGGGGGACAGAGTGAGACCCTGTCTCAAAAAAAAAAAAAAAAAAAAAGAGATCATTGTAAGATATAATATACAAGTATATGCCTTACCTCTTTTTTTTTTCAAATTGAGATGGAATCTTGCTTATGTTGCCCAGGCTGGACCTCCTGGGCTCAAGCGATCCTCCCACCTCAGCCTCCCAAGTAGCTGGGATTAACAGGCATGAGCTACCATGCCTGGCATTATGCCTTACTTAAAAATATATATATATAATATTTTTAAAAAATTCTGATAACAGTAGTGCACAATCTAGATGAAAAATGTAGAATACAGAAAAATGTATAAGAAAAAAAGTTTCTCAAATTCCCATTACCCAGTGAAGTTACTGTTGACACTTCAGTGGGCTTTCTTCCAGTCCTTTTCCTCCCCACATATTATATACTGAATAAATATCCACACACACATTTTTTCAAACCAAATTTAGATGATAGTGTATGTACTCCTTTATTTTATTTTTTTGAGACAGAGTTTTGCTCTGTCACTAGGCTGGAGTGCAGTGGCGTGATCTCGGCTCACTGCAACCTGGTTCAAGTGATTCTCCTGCCTCAGCCTCCAGAGTAGCTGGGATTACAGGCGCGTGCCACCACGCCCAGCTAATTTTTGTATCTTTAGTAGAGATGGGATTTCACCATGTTGGTCAGGATGGTCTCGATCTCTTGAACTCGTGATCCACCCGCCTTGGCCTCCCACAGTGCTGGGATTACAGGCGTGAGCCACTGCACCTGGTTGAAAATTAACTTTTTAATGGTTTATTAAATTTATTTCCCATAATTATTTAGTCATTTATTGGCTTTTTTTTTTTTTTTTTTTTTTTTTTTTTTTTTTTTTTTTTTTTTTTTTTTTTTTTTTTAAGACGGAGTATTTCTTGCTCTGTCACCCAGGCTGGAGTGCAATGGCGCGATCTTGGCTCACTGTGGCCTGCATCTCCTAGGTTCCATCTATTCTCCTGCCTCAGCCTCCCGAGTAGCTGGGATTACAGGTGCACGCCACCACGCTTGGCTAATTTTTGTATTTTCAGTAGAGATGGGGTTTCACTATGTTGGCCAGACTGGTCTCAAACTCCTAACCTCAGATGATCCATCCACGCTGGCCTCCCAGTGTTGGAATTACAGGTGTGAGCCACTGCACCCAGCCCATTTATTTGCTTTTTAAAAATCTTTTTATTTTTAAATTCAAAAACATTTTTAAGAGTTGAAGGGTATCACTATGTTGCTTGGCTGGCCTCAAGTTTCTGGGCTCAAGCAATCCTCTCCTGCCACAGTCTCCTGAGTAGCTGGGACTACAGGCATGCACCACTGTGCCTGGCTCCTTACTGGCTTTTGAAATTGTCTCCAATCTTGTTTTTGAAACAGAGCCACACTCTGTTATCCAGGCTGGAGAACAGTGGTGTGATCGTGGCTCACTGTTACCTCAATCTCCTGGGCTCAAGCAATCCTCCCACCTCAGCCTCCCAAGTAGCTGGGACTATAGGCATGTTCCACCATGCTTGGCTAATTTTTCTTTTTCTTTTTCTTTTTTTAAGAAATGGGATCTCACTATGTTTCCCAGGCTAGTCTCAAGCTCCTGGGTTCAAGCAATCCTCTCACCTTGCCCTCCAAAGATTATAGGCATGAGCCACTGTGCCCAGCCTCCAATCTTTTCACAGTTATAAATAATGTCATATTGAACATTCTTCTGCTTTTAGCTTTTCCCTATTTTGAATTATTTCTTTAGGAAAGACTCCCAGAAGTAGAGTTACAGGGTAAAAGAGTAATTTTTATGGTTCTGACACACAGGCTGTTTTAGAAAAGACCACTCTGGTTTCACTACTATCACTGACTAAAGAGTCCAAAAATGGCACCTTGCTTCAATTTACATTTCTCTGATAATAGTGAGGCTGGAAAATTTTCCACATTTGTTATCCAGTTCTACTTCCTTGTTTTCAGGTTGTCAGTTTATTTTCTTGATCACCTATCTACTGATTTTGTTTTGTTTTGTTTTGAGACAGAGGGTCGCTCTGCCCACCAGGCTGGAGTACAGTGGCATAATCCTGGCTCACAGCAATCTCTGCCTCCCAGGTTCAAGTGATTCTCCTACTTCAGCCTCCGGAGTAGCTGAGACTACAGGCGTGCACCATCACACCTGGTTAATTTTTGTATTTTTAGTAGAGACAGGGTTTCGCCATGTTTGCCAGGCTGGTCTCAAACTCCTGGCCTCAAGTGATCTGCCCGCCTCGGCCTCCCAAAGTGCTGAGATTACAGGCGTGAACCACTGCACCTGGCTTATCTACTGGGTTTTAAGAGGGATTATTTGTTACAAAAACTCTTTCAATAAAAATATTAACCCCTCCCATCACAATTGCTGTGAACATGCGGTTGGCCTTTTAATTTTGGGTAGTCACTGGCTTCTGGTCCCAACATGATATTGAAGCTCTTTTCTCAAAAGAATGTGGCATAAAACTCATTTACTGAGCACATATCTGGGTCAGGCACATAACACATCACAGGGCTAGGCTCACCACACGTCCTCATTTAGAGCCTCTTACCTAATGATCTGTCTGCCCAGCTCTGGTCCTCAGCATTCCTGGAAAAGCTGCTGCTGCTGGACATGTCTATTCTTCCTCCACCTTTCTGTTCTTCCTCCATTTCCTTTGCTGACTCTTCTAGACTTTTCTTAACACAGAATCCCCAAATTTTGCCTTTACCAGACCCTTAAATATTCACGTCCTTTGGATTCATGAAATTCAGATTTTGCCTCCTAGCCAAGGTCTCCAGAAAGTGAATTCCAAGCTGGGCTCTGGATGTGCATGGTTTTAGCTGGCTCCTTGGGCAAATCTTACGTGGCTGCACGTGACCTTCATCTTTGAGACCAGTAGTATCTACAAAGTTCAGCGAGAAACCTGTTCCTTAGCCAGGCACAGTGGCTCATGCCTGTAATCCCAGCACTTTGGGAGGCCAAGGCGGGCGGATCATGAGGTCAAGAGATCGAGACCATCCTGGCCAACATGGTGAAACCGTCTCTACGAAAAATACAAAAATTAGCTGGGTGTGGTGGTGCACACCTATAGTCCCAGCTACTCAGGAGGCTGAGGAAGGAGAATTGCTTGAACCCAGCAGGCGGAGGTTGCAGTGAGCCA